GGGAAGAACCGCCAGACATCAGCTCCCATTCCAAGTACTTCCCTGTTTTCCCTGGTGACCACCCCTGCTGCCCGGAGCTGCGGGAAGTTGGGTTCGGGCTGTGACACCCAGGGGCAGGACATCAACCCAACATGTCCCAGTGACCAAAGGACATGTTGCAGCCCAGGCCAGCAACCTTCTGAGCCACAGGCCAACCTGGAACAAACAGCACTAGCTGCACTTGGGGTGCCCACATTACCCTTTTGATCTTCCCAAGGTAATAGAGCCCGTCGGTCCAGCGGCACAGCACGTACTGCCCCTCCATCAGCTTGACCATGAGCTCCCGGCAGCTGCTGCCCCTCCGCGCCGCGGCCGGAGCTTGCTGGACACGACCAGCGGCCGCGTAGACATCCCGGATGATGGGGTTGAGCTTGGCGGTCTCCATCAGCAGAACCTGGAGAGGACACACATGGTCACCACTCGTTCCTTGCACTAGGACACCACGCACCCATCACCTGAGCACGGCGTGACGGAGGGATTTACCACGAGCATTGAGCCGGGGCTGGCTCACCCCACCAGTGGGGCTCAGGACCCACAAAACAAGTGCTGATGAGACAAGTTAATCCATGTGAAATCAAAGAGAGCAGCCGAAATCTCTGCTAATGTTGGGCAAGAGTGAGTTAACCCTCTGAGCGCCTCAGCTCCTGCAGCTTAAAGCCACCCTGACATGCCACAGGCCTGCACCAGCTCAGCCTTGGGAAGGGGCACATGAGGAGTAACAGCTTTAAATTTAATGTGATTTTTAAGTCACAATTTCTCAGCAGGCTCAAAAGCAACAGGCACACTGCATGAGCAGGGAAGCGGCAGCACCACACACAGCGAGTGCAGCCGAGCAACCAAGTTTCATTACGGAAAGGTTTGAAGCGTGGAAGGCAAAGAAGCCGTCCCCAGCTGGCAGCACCGACCCTGCAGCTGCGATCCCACACAGACACAAGCGAAGCCCTAAGAGACATCACTAAACCCCCATCGGACCCCAGTAAATCCCCGCCAGACATCAGCAAAACAACTTAAAAGTTACTTTGCTCCTCTCCGCACTC